AGAGTTGGCATGTTCACTCCACGTTGTGCATATACTCATGCACTGTTTCTGCCTACTTATGGAATCATCCGAAGGCTAATTCTGCTGGGATATTGTATCATTTTCCACTTTTCTTGGTTTAACTCTCGAACATGGGAGCTTCACTTGCTCATCTAAGACGCCTTCTATTTTGGCTATTCAATCACTTTTATCTAGGAGCACTTTTCCATATCAGCAGTACAATTCACTATTACTTATTTACCCTCAAAGCGCATTCTTATTTTTTCCTCTATAAATTTTATGTGAAAACCATATCTTTAATTATCGGCTTTTTCCAACGTTTTTATTTTTCCTTTCTCACCCTATATTCGAAAAAGGTTCGGCCGCAGTTCCAGTGTTCAGTCGAGCTTGCGGCGTGAAAGCGATCTTTCGGTTACTGGCAGCTTCGGCCGGACAGGAAGCATTATTAACGGTAGTCATTTAGGGGTTCGTAGGATCAGTGGTGATCCCAGTACTCTCTACAGCACTTCTAACGCCGTTGTGACTTCTGGAATCATCCCATTTTGTCTATCTACTACCGAAACGGTATTTCCGCGTTATCGAGCTGACACCGATGAAGTCTTGGATCCCGAATTTGAATCTTCTCTTAAACCCTCTCCTGCGTACGAATCTGGTCCATCAGATCTAGTGGAAGAAGACGAAGAAGAAGCAGGTGATGATGAAGGGGGGTTTGAAAATGCGAAAGAAGCGTTACCGGAAGAGCCCTTAAAAGAGTCGGTTCTAGACGACACTAAGCAGTTCAAAGCATCATACGACCTCTGTGACATAGCAGAAAAAGATAGTTTGACTCTTCAGAACTCGACTAGTCGGGCAATCATATGTTCCCAGTCCACACCTGTTATCATAAAAGAGGCGGGGTCCAAGGGCATTCCCTGCCGAAAACCGTTCAGGTTTTGCCACAGTTCAAGCGTACAATCAGAATACAACTGTGACCAAGAGAAAGATAAGACCTTGAGCGGGGAGCTTGTTGCCGCTCATGACTCTGCCAAGCAGCACTTCGATTCTGAAACCATGCCTAGTTCCTCTGACCGAAACCCACTTCTCCCAGTTGGAACTAGTTGCTTGATGGATTCACCAGACCAAAATAATGATAAAGACGAGATTATAAACTCAAAGGCTGCAGAGGTGTCCCGAAAAACCGTAGGAACTAACCTGCAGTATGAAATGGAACCTGGCCGAGACTCTCGTTTGTATCCCAAACTCTGTTCTAAAAAAAAAGATCCCGAGTTAGTTGACTTGGATCGTTTTTGCGACAATTTGCTTCCATCTACCAGCTGGAACAAAAACTGGGCCTTCCCTCCATATTTGGTGAGTTTATATGTGATCAAGATGAAATAAAAGTGGTAATTTCGGGGTTTATTTGCTTTTTGACATACTTATAGGGCGAGGTATCTAAACTCTATTAAGAGGTCAATATTTTAATTTGGCGTATTTTTTCTTACTCATCGATGCGTTTCAGTTATGTTCAAGTACATAGGTGTGCTTTTAAAATAGCTCTGTAATAAATAAATGTAATAAACCACGTGTTTTTATAATATTTCTCCATAATTCTAATGCATCATTTAAATTTATTTCTTTTACTAGACGCCTCTTCTTTTCATTTGTACTTAATAGTTTTTTCATTATTAAGCTTTATTGTAATTAGTTACTCCTAGTTATTACAACTAATGTTATGCGTTTTGTTCTTTCTTGTTGCAATCTTCTCTGATTTCAACATATTCTTATCTGCTTCATTTATTTTAGCCTTGTCTCGAAGCCTCGGCCCTTCTGCAAAAGCAGGCTAACACTTGGGCGGAGCTTGCAGTTAAAGAGGTGATCTATGCTGATTTGGTCCTGGTTGTATCATTTACTTTTCTTATTGCATTTCTGAATTTAGTTCAGTGTTTATACTGCTTTTTATTCTGCCTTTGTTCTAATAAGGGTTTTTTAAGTATTATTTTTGCCGATAAGTTTCTCAGGTGACCGTGAATGATTTTGACAGAATACTTATATATTTTTCAGATCTCGAAGTTAATATTAACTCTACGGTTTCATGTTCCACAAAGCTTTATTTTCTCGTTTCATTCATTATCATGCTTCTTGTAGACATTAGGAATCTATTTATAGTCATTACAAGGCTGTCTTCCATAATACTGGTGGTTAAGTCTCTCTTATTTGGCATACTTACATGTGTTAAACCTAAACTAGTCATAGTTGCTTAGAATAGTAAAAAAAATCGCATATTATCTAGCGATTTCTGCCGTTTTGAATGAATTTGAAACGCTATGTCTTGCCAATTATGTTTTCTATATAAAGAATAAAAATCTTTACAAAAATTTTATTTATTTCATTTTATACCTATTTATCTATTTGTTGCTTGGATGGAAAACCAAATTTGCACTTGACTTATCCCGTCTCTCTAGCATTCTTGTAAATACAGCTGCTTCTAGAATCTAATATTTTTACAATCATTTCTTAACTCATCTTAGGTGGCTCAGGATGGGCACGGTTCTCTTAACGAATTACTTAGTTTCGAAACATGAATTCAGCACAAGCTTACTCATATTGTACTAATTTTGTGAAATGACAGTCAGAGTCGTGAATTGTAGACCAGCTCCACCAGAATACAGCTGATAATTGGCCGCCTAGTCTATTCGCCCGATGAACGTTAACTAACTCCGAATAATCTATCCTGACCTTTCGACTTCATACAATAAAGATATTTTTCTTATACTCATTTTAGTCTGACATTAGGTCAACATAGCTTTTTGGTCTAATTCATTTAGAATTTATTTAGATCTAAGCATAACCGAATAGAAACGCCAGTATTTAGTCGATTACTTTTCTTTAACTTTATATACTTTTATCAAAGATATGAAGACCAAGATGGTGTGGTCGCAGTCTCCTTTCGT